GAAGCACATGATGTCGGCGCGATGTAGACTCAACCAATCCATGCCGATGATGACGTCGAAACTTTTTATTGAGACCGGCATGAGGTCGATTGGGAATGAATGGTTATCTAGGGTTAGGATACACCCTAAGTATATGCTACTGGTGTTTTCTGTTTTGCCGTTAGCCATTTCTACTGTGAATTGTTCTTTAAGTGCGTGTGGTTGTGGTTTAAGCATGCGAGCAAATTTGTGGTTTACGAAGCTTCGCTCCGCTCCACTATCGAACAGAATGCATGCATAGGAGTTATCGAGGAGGAACGTACCAGTCACCACTGTCGGGTCAGCGACTGCTTCCCCGTGGCCTATAGCTAGTACCCTCCCTGCTCCAGTATTCCTCGCTTTAGGGCAGTCCCTCTTATAGTGGCCTGTTTCGCCACATCCATAACAAGTTGGGCTCGCGCCAGAGCCAGGGACTTGCGTGATTGGTTGCGCCGGAAATTTACAGAAACGGACGGTGTGTCCTTTCCTGTTGCAGTTAGAGCACTGCATTTCACGGCAGGGGCCGTTGTGGTGGAAGTTGCATTTGTTGCACTTCGGCAAACTTCCAGCATACTGCTTCGTCGGTGCAGTAGCAGCAGGGGTTACTGCGGCATGTACAGCCACAGTTTGCTGCTTCTTGGCAGCTCGCTGCCTCTTCTTGTCATCCCAGAACTTCCGCTTGGTGTCAGCGGGTTTGGATGGTTCTGAGATGGCTAGGGTTGTTGTGGTTGTAGGGGTTTTGACACCATGGTCAATGAGTCGCTGTGCCAGTCGCTTGGCACTGTCGAAGGTAGCGGGGTTGGATGCTAAGACATTCCCCTGATACGGAGGAACTAGCCCCCATATGTACCTTTCAATCTTCTTCCCTTCAGTGGGAACCATATTCGGGCAGAGGGCCACCAGTTCGCTAAACCGGGCAGTGTAAGCGATAATGTTGGTGCCCTTCATGGTCAGGCTCCAAAGCTCCTGTTCCAGTTTTTGGATCTCGCCCCTCGGGCAGTATTCCTCAATCATGAGGTCTTTCATCGTATCCCAGCCTATGTCGTTGGCCACGACGAGAGTTAGAGATTTAACGTGGCTGTTCCACCACGTCAGTGCCTTCCCTTCGAAGGTGCATGCGGCATATTTGACTTTGCACGCAGCAGGGCAAGAACAGATTTCGAAGACTGATTCAGTCTTCTCGAACCATTGCGAAAGGCAATGACTCCGCCGGTCCCATGGAAGGGTTTCGGCTTACAGTTGGTGAAATCCTTGTAAGAGCACTCTCTCGAGCGCACAGGAGTTTCCACCGGAATGGAGTTAACCGGGGTTCCACCTCTGCTAGCATCCGATGAGTGATACTGAGCCATGGCAGTTGCCACTGCTGCAGCTACGGCAGCGTTCAGAGCGGCAGTATCGATGACTGCAGGTGGAGGAGGCGGTGGAGGCACAGGATTATTCCTAGCCCTGGAGATTTACGAGGAGGCATCTTTCAACTATAAGTTTATAAAGATGAGAAAAGTGGTAAGAATCAATTTGTAAGAAATGTGCGAATGACACATGGACTAACTAACCATAGCCCAACAATTGAATGAGTGTTTGTGTTCATAACCAGAATGATGTGTAAGAAAACCCAAATGCAAAGATTTATCCCACAGAGTAGGTAGTTGTCAAATAATACTGGTATTACTGATGTAACGAGTTCAATGAAAATTGACCTAACAGTAGGTCTTACATCATACCATACAGAAAGTTTGACAGTTCCTAGATTCCTAGTTAGAGTACTGAAAGTTAGGAATATTTTACAGATAAGTGCTACTTAGAGCACAGATGTTAAAAGACTAATCCTTAACCCAAAAGATAATGATGTACTAGACATCATCTAACGGCGATGAGTATTCCTCGGGAGAACCCTGAGGTCTCTCATTTGACGTACCACCTCTTGAAGGTGTCGTTCATGAGCTCTTTGACGAGCTCGAAGTTCCATGACCTCAGCTTGAGAGGCAACCAGACGTTGCTGCAGAGTTTCATTGGTTCTCCGGGTCCGTTCCATATCTTCTTCGAGACGGCGAATGCGGACTGTGTTGACACCAGAGTTGGCATCAATCTCCACGACTCGGTCGATGGCTGCTCGACCTTGCTCGACATTACGAGATATCCTACGGATAAGGACAGGTAGAGCTCGGTCAGCAGAGCCACCATCGCTGACGTTGTAAAAGGTTCGGTCCCCAAAGTATGGTAAGGGTTGACCCTGTTCGTCACTCCAGCGATTCAAGTTATCTACCCACAAGGGAGTGGGACCTAGAAAAGCTGGTCGAGGGTTGTTGTTCGGGGCTTGACCTACTAGAGGTAGGTTGTTGACTTCCGGCTCAGAGTCTGATCCATCTGAGAAGCCTTCAGCTTGATGATCATCCAATGGAATTGGGTGTTCATCATCAGACTCTGCTTCGAGCCATCCTGCGTTACCTTCATTTGGAAAGTACGGGTCGCCGTGATGGAATCCAGCCATCTAAATCTACGCGAGAAGAGAGGTATAAAGATATAGTATACAAGTAGTTGGTAGTACAAAATACACCTATAGTATTTTAAGTTTAAGTTCTATTGAATCTTCTTGTGGTATTGTTGGTAAGTTTTTTAGACTTGTTAACACATCACAACCATTCTAGGGCATATGCTAATCACTCCTCGGACCAGCATAGTTGATCAGGCTATGCCATTCCCAGGGCTGACCATATATCCCCGAGCTTACCTGTGATATTTAACAATCGTAATACTTTTGTTCTTGTCGTTGTGACACTGGTTTTAGTATGAATGTAGACTAGTATACTTAATTAAATATTTTAGTATTTTAAGTATAGACTCTTGGTCAGAGTGTTTTAATCCCAAATGGGTTTATAGTTTAGTATATCTTTTATGGGTTGATATACTTGATTCACTATAAACAATGCTCTGATACCAATCTGTCACACCCCAAAACCAAGAACGGCGGAAACGTTCTGGGGCGGAGGACGTCATGTAAGTATCACAACACAGTAAATGTAAATAAGCAAACAACATCATCCATTGCATTAAATATATAATTTTAATACAAGCGTGTTCTGTACATTATAGACACCAAAAATAACGTATATCAAAAGATGAGTCTTGAGTGCGCTCCATCTTCTCAAAAGCTGGTCTCGGTACCTGTCTACTGACGACCTGAGAATACAAGTTATTTTGAAAGAGTTTATCAGCATTAAGCTGGTGAGTTCATAAGTATTTTAGTGTCGGTATTTGTCATCCAAAAATGTTTGAACATGTATAAAGTATAAGTTTGTAAAATGTATGTAAAGAATTTCAATTGTTCGTAAAAGTTTGAATCTCTCAGAAAAACCTATATTTTCTATTAAAGTAGCCTTCTACCAAGTCTTAACTGTTTTGTATGCTCGTTTGATGTAAAAATGTGTAATTTTCCAAATGTAACTATCATTTATCAAAATATAGTTTGTACATAAACGTTTAAGTGAGGTTATCACTAAAATATGTAATGGGTAAATTAATGTAGTACTGTAGCCTTTGTATTATAAGACTACTGCGGTACTAACTACCTTAAACCGGATTTATATTAAGGCATTACGTGATAAATTGTACCATACTATCGACTAGTAACAATGACAAATGAATGGTCGTAATAACGGAATGACGTTTGGCACCCGCAGACCTGCAGGTCCGGCTGTAGCTAGCAGCAAGGTCTAGGATTGTCAATCCAGTATAGATCTATACGCAAACTCAACGCTCTCCCTTCAAGAGAATTCTGGCTACAACTCGAGCCATGACAGTTAAGTCATGCTCCGATTTAAATCACAATAATAAAGTATTCATGTATATGTACTGTTTCTCGTTCTAGTATATGTATATGTATTGTTTCTAGCATCATTGTATATGTATTGTTTCTAGTATATGTATATGTATTGTTTCTAGCATCATTGTATATGTATTGTTTCTAGTATATGTATATGTATTGTTTCTAGTATCATTGTATATGTATTGTTTCTAGTATATGTATATGTATTGTTTCTAGTATCATTGTATATGTATTGTTTCTAGTATATGTATATGTATTGTTTCTAGTATCATTGTATATGTATTGTTCTGTGTTACCCCGATGGTAACAAGCTATGATGTACTGATAAATATGAATCTGGAAGTACTTTTATGTCTATACATGTATATATTATATATAATAATGTTGAAACGACCTTCGGATGGTCACCCGAAACTCCACCAGACCACATCCAAATCGAGGAAAAGGAAATAGGATAGGTGGCTTTCCTAAGCCTTTTAAACATTATTTATACATTTATACGTATATGGGCATGCAATTTATAAGAAGTAGAACAAAGTTTAATAAAAGCATTTGATAAGTAAAAAGAGTTTGTAAAACGTTTGAAGTGAAACAGTTTGATAAATAGTTTGAACATTTGTAAAAATCGTTGTTTTCCTAGTTATTAATCACATGTGATTAAAGGTAATCACATGTGATTGAAGCAATAACTATAAGTATTTGACTTGTACCCCCCCCCCATAAAGTGTTTAAAACATTTAAAATCATTTCAAAGGTTGATTCAAGGGGTATGAACTCACATGTGGTGAGTCGCTTGAATTGAGG